TCATGATTACCAGGCAAAAGGGGGTGGAAGGGATAAATTTTAGAGTTTGAGATTGCAAATGTTAGCCACTATATATAAAAATAGATCTAAAAAAAACCAAGTTTCTTCTATATAGCACAGGGAACTTCTATTCAATATCTTGTAATAGCCTATTTTTATCTCATGTTTAGAATTAAAGGCTTTATCTGCCCCAGAGTTATAATTCTAAAAGTTACTAAGGAAGATCATATTTTCCATCTAAATCTTTGAATGGTATAAATCTCTTCCAACAAAATTTGAAACCAAACCACTGTACTCAGTGAACTTAAGAGCAGGCACCACGGGCTGAAAAAGAACCAGTTCAGTCATTATTGAGCCCACAAAATTAGTGGGAAGAACCCTGTTTGGCTGTATGTTATCCTGGATCCTGACCTGGAAATCACTTGACTCTAACTGGCTGCCTCATTACCAAGGTCACTGGTTTTGTCTCCTTCTTATAGCAAACCATCCTCTAATTGTGCAGGTCGCTGCTTTGTAAACGGGGGATTAAGTATCTCAGAAGCTTAAGATCACATTTGAAATGCACTTTAAAATAGATACCCGTTTATTACAGGTACAGGAGAAACATTTTTACATGTTCATCTTCAACCAGGAGTCTGTTTTGGGTTTTTTTAATGTGTGTTTTAAGTATCACATCCCAGGTGTATATTATGTTTGAAAAAAAAATCACACAATAGATTGAAACATCATTAAACAAACATAAAAGAGACATGAAATTTTAGGTATGTCCTTGAAACCATTGGAGGTTCCAAGAAGGAAGGAGGGGACAGAGGAATTGAACACAACTCCTTAGACCAACTGCTTGGAAGTCCAGGTCCTTCTCTCACTGGGACTTTATGACTATTGAGAGCAAGTTTGGGGCACAACACGATTAATCAAGCTGTAAACTGTCACTCACCTTATGGGTCCAGAAAAAGAGGAGACTGGAGTTATTCCTCACCAACGTCGTTTGGGGTCCAAAATTCATGGCTCAATGCACTGATTTCTTTGTCAGTTGAGACCAGACAAAACCTCAAGACCCTTTCATTCGGAGGTTCTGCATAGGACGGAAGTGCTGTGGTTGTCAGGCAGCCCCAGGTAAGGAGACAGGATCTGCTAATTACAATATTTCTCCCTGAGCCTATCTTTGGTTCTATGATAATTAATTTAAAAGGACATTTTAGCACTTGTGCCAAATAATAGAAAAATTAGATTAAAAATGCAACCAGCTGGCTTCTCAACCTTCTTGGCAAGTCATGATCAGAGCTGCCCCTTGGTGAGCAACTTCTGGGCAGGACACATCTTGGCAGGTCTCCAAGGGAAGACGGGCAGGAGGGACGGGAGCAGTCAGATGGCTTCCCTGCTGCGGGGGCTGAGCCATCCCAGGGCTCTGTGCTTGGGGGGCCAGTTGGTGGCTCTTCGAAGCCTTCCTGCAAGTTTCTGCAGCCCAAATAGCCACCAGAGAGTGAATGACCCTCCTCATCTCCCAACTGGCCCCCTTGCTTACAATCTTGCTGCTCTATAGACTACTTCCCACACAGCAGCCAGAGCGACACTTGTGACATGGAGTGGGTTTACACACCCCTCTGCAGAGCAAACCCTTACCTGGACTTTGATGTGGTCCCCATTACCACCCTGACCCATCACTTGCCTCTTTCCCACTCCATCCCTCGGCAGCAACCTTACTGGACCCCTAGCTAAACACCCTAAAATTGCCCCTCCTCAAAGCCTTTGCACATTCTGTTCCCTCTGCCTAGAATGCTCTTCCTCCAGATGCCCAGCTTCTCCCTCACTTCGTTCAGGTCTCTGGTCAAATGTCACCTTATTAGAGAGGCCTTCCTCTCCCCTCTTTCCTCCCTCCCCCATCACTCTTTCTTGTTTGAAACAATATCGAACTTAATGACATGTTGCAAAAAAAGAAAACAAAGGACTCTTTTCCTGAACTATTTGAAAGTAAGTTACCAACACAGTGCCCTGCCAGCCTCACACGTTTAAGTGTGGAAGTCCTACAACAAGAACATTCTCCCCCGCAACCATGACACAGCCAGCCGGATGGGGAGGTTAACAGTGATTCAGTCCTCAGACCACATTCAACTTTCACCAGTTGTCGCAACAACATCCATTACAGCCAAAAGACCCTGCACAGAAGCCTGTACCCTTGTTTAAAAATTCTTAAAACAACCCAATCCAAAAATGGGCAGAAGACCTAAACAAGCAATTCTCCAATGAAGACATACGAATGGCCAACAGGTACATGAAAAAATGCTCAATATTGCTAATTATCAGAGAAATGCAAATCAAAACTACAATGAGGTATCACCTCACACCAGTCAGAATGGCCATCATTTAAAAGTGTACAAATGACAAATGCTGGAGAGGCTGTGGAGAAAGGGGAACCCTCCTACACTGCTGGTGGGAATGCAGTTTGGTGCAGCTATTATGGAAAACAATACAGATTCCTCAAAAAACTAAAAATAGACTTACCATGTGACACAGCAATCCCGCTCCTGGGCATATATCCAGAGGGAACTCTAATTTGAAAAAATACATGCACCCCAATGTTCATAGCAGCACTATTTACAATAGCCAAGACATGGAAGCAACCTAAATACCCATTGACATATGACTGGATAAATAAGTTGTGGTATATTTATACACTGGAATACTACTCAGCAATAAAAAGAATAAAATAATGTCATTTGCAGCAACATGGATGGACCTGGAGATCGTCATTCTCAGTGAAGTAGGCCAGAAAGAGAAAGAAAAACACCATATGGTATCACTCATATGTGGCATCTAAAAAAAAGAAAAAAGAGAACACTAATGAACTCATCTACAAAACAGAAACAGACTCACAGAGTAAACAATTTTATGGCAACCAGAGGAAAGCGGGTGGGAAGGGATAAATTTGGGAGTTGGAGATTTGCAAAGGTTAACTACTATATATAAAAATAGATAAAAAGCAATTCTTGTAATAACCTTTAATGAAAAAGAATATGAAAATGAATATGTGTATATATATGCATGAGTGGGACATTATGCTGTACACCAGAAATCGACACATTGTAACTGACTATACTTCAATTAATTAATTGATTGATTGATTGATCGATTAAAAATAAAAATTCTTAAGAATTTCAAGATGGTGACAGCAGAGCATTAAACCAAGCATGGGATCTTGTGTGACTACGGACATCTCATATTCATGAAGTTCACCTTGTCTGTGATCTTAATGTTGCATCTTGTCCGATGGCAAATGATTCAGCTTTATCCATCACTGATGACGTGAACTTTGATCAACCATTAAGATGGGCCAGCCAGGCTCTCTCCACCATAAAGTTAACCTTCCTCCCTCTGCAGTTGGTAAGTGTTTGGGAGAAGATCATTGTGTTTACCGCTTTATATTAATATGATCTCAAGGTTTCCGATTGTATCCAATGGTTTGTAACTCATCTCTATCATTGTTAATTAATTAATTTATTATTTATGTTTAAATTTATGTACAGTCCACTTGGCTTCCTTCGGTGTACAGTTCATGAGTATTAACACATGTACTGACAAGTGCGCTCACCAGCACAATCCAAACGCAGAGCATTTCAGCACCCCCAAAATTCCCTCACGCTGCCCCTTTGTAGTCAGAGCTCCCCCTCAGCCACTGAACTTTGCCTCTACAATTTTGTCTTTTCCAGAACATTATATAAGTGGAATCATACTGTGAGTAATTTTTTGAGACTTGGGTCTTTCACTCAGCATAACGCTTTGAGTCACTCATGTTGTTTCCTGACTAGGTTTCCATTGCATACATGCATACAGTTTACTTATCCATTCATCCGTCTGTCATATGAAAATTTCTTTATTCAGGTTAATGATCCTGTCTGTCTTCATACTGGATCATCGCTGATGGGGAGTATGGGTCCTGCGACTCTGCATCTCTCATAAGCTCCCGGGTGATGCTGGTCCAAGAATCATGCTTCCAAGAGCAAGGCTGCAGAGCAATCACTGTGACAACGATGGCTGGAAGGGGCCGAGGAGGGTGTTGTGGCAATGCGGGTGAGCAGCAATGAGGGCCTGAGCCAAGCCAGGGGCAGTGGGGAAGACAGAAGAGGCAGACTGTGGAGACAGCAAGGAGACAGACCCAACAGGCTTGAGGGGTGAGGACGCCGTTCCCAAGAAACTGGAAGAAGAGCAGAAACGGGGGAGGGGTGCAAGGAAACAAGGAGTTCACTGTGAGTCATTCGGTTTTCGACACACCAGGTGTGAATGGGGATGGCAACTTTAAGAAGTTGGCCGTTGGTGTGTGGAGCTCAGGGGAGAGAAGGGTCTGGGCTAACGCCAGTGGAGGGTGTGGGTGTCACCCCCAGGAGTGGAGTGACAAGAACAGAGGTGGGGGGAGGGCAGGCCCCCTCCAGTCTGGTTCCCTCTGCTACTCTCTCGAGCTTGCAGCCCCCACGCCACCCCGCCTCTGGCTGCTTCCTTCTTTCATTGATGTTTACGTGTGTGTGGGCTCGGAGCCCAGTCTTAGCATCCCGGGGACTTGCTCAGTGACAGGAGGAGGTGACAGTAACTACAAGCCTCCAGCATCAGGTAGTTGTTCGGGTGGAAGAATCTGCTCTTGGCTGCCCCCGTCTGAGTCCCGGGAGACTGCTGCTCCCTCCAGTTTAGAGGCAAAGCAGCCACAAAGCTCTTTCCTGCATTTCTTCTCAGCACAGGCAACATATTTTCATCACCGAGTAAGCGAAAGGAAATAATTGCAGAAATATGCATTTAGTAACAGTATAATTTCCAGAATCAAAGATTCTAATTCAAAAGCCACCGCAAAAAACAATGACAAGATGCCAAGGCCTCAGATTCCCTTATCCCCGGAATAGCACATTCGAGACAGAAGGACTTACACGATCGTTTGGTTTCCTCTGTTCCAACCCTGCATTTCCACAAGAAGCATCACTTTATTTCCCTTCAATACAATGAAGTTACAGGGACATTTTGTTCCTCCCAAGACCAGTGCCAAAACCTTATTAAAATAAGGGGATGGGGTAGAGCTCAGTAGTTGCAAGGTCCTGGGTTCAATCCCCAGTGCCTCCATTAAAAAAAAAAATTCCCAACAGTCAATTCTATGAGGTGCCTGTTGGGGGAGGGTAACAGCTCTGTGGTAGAGTTCATGCTTAGCGGGCACGAGGTTCTGGGTTCAAAAAAATAAATAAAGCAAAAACGTTCTGCGCTGTGTAATTTTAAGTCAAAAAGCATTATATCAAGTGTGAACAAATTTTGCAACCACATGTTATATATGCACTAAAAAGTCTGGGAGATGGCAATAAACTTCTTAGAGTGATTGTGACTGTCTTTCTTTCGTTCTCACTTACTGGTATTTTATTTTTGCCTTCTATGATAAATATGCTTTGCTTCCACAAGAAAAAGTCCACGAAGGGTCTTAAATGTTTGAAAATTCACACAGTTCAGATTCCAGGGAGGCACTCGGTACTTATTTATGAATTTGATGAGGGAGGGAGGGAGAATAAATGAAGATGAATGAACGCCAAAAGCACAGTTTCACACAGTGTATGTCTGCTCATCTTCTGACCTTCTGATGGATGGCTGCCTTCTTCTGTGCTTGCGAAGAAGTGAATTCAACACAGCTCCAGGCTTGCCTTCTGTTGCTGACTCCCTGAACCCACCAACAGATCACTCCCAGAAGAGTAGTCTCAGAGGGGCATGGCCATGAGGGAAGTTGTTTGGCTTCTGTGAATCAAAAGCAAGACTCAGAGGCCCCACCTCTAGTTAATTGCAGGGATAAAGGTGAGTGTCTCCCAGGTAAACAACCTGTTGGTAGCTGTTCAGACAAATCCCGGAAGACCAGACCCCTGCAAGCCAATTAGCAGCAGCTCATCTGAGAAGACACTATATTCCAGGGCATAAGGAACCTGCTGGTATTTTTTAAGTTAGCTTTGTTATCGGTTATTCTTCCAAACTGGACAAGGGAGGATCAAATTGCAGGGATCTAGTTTCAAAAGGCAAGCTATGCCTTCAGAGGAAGGGTGGAAAGTCACACTGCAGCTGAGAAAACAGACTGACTGCAGTCGGTAATGTATTCCCTAGTTCGAATGCAGTTACTCTGCCTTTGGTTATAGGAGCTGGTTAAAGAAACACACACACACACACACACACACACACAACAAAAAACACAAGGGCATGCTTTGATTATAG